CTCAAAATGCTAGCAGAGAACTTACAACTGAAAAAGCATATATCCACAAGGACAAAAAACTGGAGAGGATACAGGGACAGATGACAGAGGTCAAGAAAATTCTGGAAGCTGGAAAGTCAGTGGTAACTGATTTCAAAGAGCAGAGAAGGCTGAAATTTAAAACTGAAAGGGGAGGTGGTGTGCAATAAGAAGCAAGTGGGTTCCTTGCTGCAGGATTCCAATTGGAGTACCCCTGAAGATGGGGACAGGAGGTGGGGCTGAAAATAGGAGGTACATCTTGGCTGTCCTTCTGATGGGGCAGTGAGATACCCAGAGGTCCACTCCTGCCCTGCACAACCAGGAGACTAACTTCTCCCACCAGTGGAAGAAGATGTGGAGTTCACACCAAGGGGCTCTGGGTTCAGAGTTACCAGACACAGTTGGGAACAGGGAACTGTACTGAAAATGGGCACAAAGTGGAAGTCTGTGAGTGGTAAACCCCCCACTCACTCAACACAACTTCCCACCCAACAGCCAGAATGATGGCAGACAAGCTTACATCCTCTGGAAGGAAGAATGGAAGTTTCCTCTCTGGGGAAAAGGACTAGGCCAAGAGAGAGAAAAGCCCTTCTGACATTTAGTATTGCCCCAATGAAACAGCAGGGCACCTGATCACCCTACTGTGAAGACCAGTGGCAGATGAGCCCCACCCAGACACTCAGGACTCGAAATCAGCATTTTGGTGCCTTTACTCTTAAATCTGAACAAACAGCTAAGCATCACTTGACATCAGAGGGGAGCTTCTAATATGAAAGATGGAGACATACATCACCAACCACCGAACCAACCACAGTAGGGGGAAACTGAGAATGCAGAAAGCAAAAGACAACTGTAAGAAAATCCTAAACCTCATAAGTCTAGTATCTAAGAAAACAGAAGAGTAAGCCATAAAAAGAAGCATCCAGAGAATAAGAGCTCTTAAAAATTCAAAATATGATAGCAGAAATTTAAAAAGTTCAATAGATGAATTAGGATACAATTTGAGGAATTCTCTGAGACTATAAAAGAAAATTACAAAGAAACAGAAAACAGTAAAGAAGAGGTAAAAATATTTAAGGCTCAACCGAGAGGATCCCACAACTAATGTAAATTTCAGAGAGAAAATAAGGGAAAGGAATGATCACACCAGAAGACATTATAGAAAATAAAAACAAACACAAACAAACTAACAAAAGGAAATAACCTAATGCCTATCACTGGGAGAAGAGATAAATGGTGGTATCTTTTTTTTATTATGTTATGTTAATCACCATACATTCCATCATTAGTTTTTGATGTAGTGTTCCATGATTCATTGTTTGCATATAACATCCAGTGCTCCATGCAGAACATGCCCTCTTTAATACCCATCACCAGGCTAACCCATCCTCCCACCCTCTCCCCTCTAGAAACTCAGTTTGTTTCTCAGAGTCCATCGTCTCTCATGGTTCGTCTCCCCCTCCGATTTCCCCCCCTTCATTCTTCCTCTCCTGCTATCTTCTTCTTCTTCTTCTTCTTCTTTTTTTTTTAACATATAATGTATTATTTGTTTCAGAGGTACAGATCTGAGATTCAACAGTCTTGCACAATTCACAGCGCTCACCACAGCACATACCCTCCCCGGTGTCTATCACCCAGCCACCCCATCCCTCCCACCCCACCCCCCACTCCAGCAACCCTCAGTTTGTTTCCTGAAATTAAGAATTTCTCATATCAGCGAGGTCATATGATACATGTCTTTCTCTGATTGACTTTAAATTGTGGTATCTTCACACAACAGAATGCTAGACTACAATGTCAAGTTAATGAACAATAGCCATGTGCATAAATGACTCTTAGGAACAACGCTGAATAAGATGCAAGCCACGGCAAATGTCATTTCTGTGTGTGATGCCATGTCTATGGTATTCAAAAGCCAGCAAAAGTAAACAAGGCATAGTTTAGCAGCACATACATATACAGTAGACAATAAAGAAAAGTGAATTAGAAAAACAAAACAAAAAATGAGATTGGTTCTGTGGCTGGTGAGGGGTGAGGGCATGGGGGCAGCAGAGGAAGGTAGGGACTGGCATCAAAAAAGAACATAGAGGGGGATTCAAAGAATTGGGAATACTCTATTTCCTGAGCTGGATGGTGGATTCACAGGTATTTGTTTTACTACTATGTGTCATGACTTATATTACTCATATTCTTTTATATACGCTCTCTCCTCATACAGACACACACACACACACACACACACACGATAGAAGAAAATTTCCCTGAATTGAGGATGTGAGTTTCCCAATTAAATTGCCCCAACAGTCCAGGGGCACCTGGAGGCTAAGTGTCGGGCTGTTGGTTTCAGCTCAAGTCATGATCTTGGGGTCATGAGACTGAGCCCTGTGTCAGGCTCCCCGCTCAGCGGGGAGTCTGCTTCTCTCCCTCTCACTCTGCCTCTCCCCAACTTGTGCTCTCTCTCACTAAAATAAATAAATAAGTCTTAAAAAAAAAAAAGGCCCTAAGAGTCCCATGCAACAAGGGGAATAATCTATACCAAAGCATATTTTTATGAAACATCAGAGCATCAGAAGTGAAGAGACTATCATAAAAGCAGTAAGACAGGGAAAAACACCTCACATACAAAAAACAGAATCAGAACCATCTTGGTCTTCTCACTGACGAGACTGAAAGTAGAAGACCACATACCTTCTAGATTCTGAAGGAAGATGATTCCTATTTAGAATTCTACACCAATCAATGCAGCAAATGAGAGAGCAGAATTAAGATAAACTCAGACAAGTTAGGCCTCGAAAGTTTTATCTCCCATGTACCCCATCTCTAAATGAAAGAATGTGTTCCACCAAAATGAGCCAGTAACTCAAGAAAGAGGAAACCCTGGAAACTGGGACACAAGGATTCTATTTTATTTTATTTACTTTTTTAAAAGTAGGCTTCAAGGGTGTCTGGGTGGCTCAGTTGGTTAAGCGACTGCCTTCGGCTCAGGTCATGATCCTGGAGTCCCTGGATCGAGTCCCGCATCAGGCTCCCTGCTCGGCAGGGAGTCTGCTTCTCCCTCTGACCCTCCCCCCTCTCATGTGCTCTCTCTCTCAAATAAATAAATAAAATCTTAAAAAATAAATAAATAAATAAAAGTAGGCTTCATGCCCAGCATGAAGCCCAATGTGGGGGTGAACTCACAACCCTGAGATTAAGACCTGAGCCAAGATCAAGAGTTGGACACTTAACCAACTGAGCCACCTGGCACCCCCAGGATACAAGGATTACTAATACAGAAATAAGACAAAAAGACTATAAAGGGGGTTAGTCCCCCAAACAGCTGGAAGCAGGCACAGAGGACAGAACAGTTTGGAGCAAGAGAACAAGAGAACTCCAGGAGAAATTTCTCCACAAAAACCATGCAATTGTTCAATTACCTAATATTTAAGTGAATTGAGAGATTTGCAGTACTGTGCAATAGTTTCAGGAAGAATTACTGATTGGCACATGGAAAACTAAGCCAAAACAAACAAACAAAAAATAGAGGCCATTTATTTACTCTAGGGAAAGCCAAAAGTTATATAGGAAAGGATAAGTAAATATAATCTATACAGCTCATTAGTTTGTAATATTTTCATAATCCTAATAATGCTGAATATTGACTGAACCAAAAATTATGATATAATTATATAGGGAGGATGAGGGCAGTAGAAGTGTATTTGTGGTAAGAGTGTGTGTAATTTAAGAAAACTGCATCTCTATCTTCTGTAGTTGTAAATAAATGCTTAATTTCTAAAATGAAAAGAATCAACCAAAATAACAGGATAGGGAACACTCCTAACTCAATCTGTGAGCCTATCGAACCCTGAACCCAAACTAGACAAGGGTAGCAGAAGGTAGAAATTTACAGCAGTTTCACTCATAAGCATAGATGCAAAAGTTTTAGTTAAAATGCTGGCAAGCTGAATGCAGCGGAACCAAGCTGGTTCTATCTCAGTAATGCAAAGTTGGTCCAACTTTAAAAAAAAAGTATTAATCTGAATCATCACAATAATAGGTTAAAGGAGAAAATCTACATGATTACCTTGATAGGCACAGAAAAAGCATTTGATAACATAAATACTCATTTATGTTAAAGATAATCTTAGCCAAGTGTCCCTGGGTGGTTCAGTTAAGTGTCCATCTCCTGATTTCAGCTAAGGTCTTGATCTCAGGATCGTGAGTTCAAGCCCCATGTTGGGTTCCACACTGGGTGTGGAGCCTACTTAAAAAATAATAATCTTAGCCAATGGGGAGAAGGACATTTCTTTAATTTGATGACACTCTCTACCAATATTTTACAGCAATACTTTTTTTTTCCCCAAATAGAATACTTAAATGGTGAAGTATTAGAAACATTCTCTTTAAAATCAGCACGATGAGGGGCACCTGGCTGGCATGGTCAGTGGAGCATGTGATTCTTGATCTCAGGGTGGTGAGTTTGAGCCCCACGTAGGGTGTAGAGATTACTTTAAAAAATATATTATTTACGGGCGCCTGGGTGGCTCAGTCGGTTAAGCGTCTGCCTTCAGCTCAGGTCATGATCCCAGGATCCTGGGATCGAGCCCCACATGGGCTTCCCCACTCAGTGGGGAGTCTGCTTGTCCCTCTCCCTCTGTCCCTCGCCCTACTTGTGCTCTCTCTCTTTCTCAAATAAATAAATCTTTAAAAAATATATTATTTAAAATTAGGAAAATGACAAGGGGGTACTCTAACGCCTTTCTGTTCAACATTGTATCTGGGGAATCTGACCAGGCAGAAAAGGGGGAAAAAAAGACAAAGAAATAAATGATATAAAGATTGTAAACGGAGAAAATAGCTCCAATCTTGTTCTGAAGAACCAAGATTCCAATTTACAGGTCTAAAACCACCAAACTCGCAAATGAGAGAACAGAATTAGAATGAGTTCAAACCAGGTAGGTCTCATAAAGTTAATCGTCCACACACCTGTATTAGTTTCTCTGTTGCTGCCATAACAAATCGCCACAAACATAGAGGCTTAAAAACAACACAAATTTATTCTCCTGCAGTCTGGAAGTCTGAAATTAGTCTTAGGGGGTTAAAATCAAGGTGTCAGCAGGGCAGTGTTCCCCCTGAAGGCTCTAGAGAATCTGTTTCCTTGTTTTCTTCAGCTTCTAGGCACTGTCCACATTTTTTGGCCAGGGGCCTCTTCCTCCATCCTCAAAGTGCGTCACTGCAAAATTTGTTTCCGCCATGACATGGTCTCTCTCCAGTATTGTCATCACATAGCCTTCACTTTCCTTCTGCCAAGCAACTCTCCCATCTCAAGACCCTTAATTTAGTCACATTTACAAAGGCCATTTTGTCATGTAAGGTAGTATGTTCACAGGTTTTGGGGGTTGGGATGTGGACAGCTTTGGGGGCTCACTATTCAGTCTATTGCATATCACTTCCATATAACCATTCACAGGTTATATGATTGTTTACATAGAAAAAGCCAAGATAATTTACAGATTATTAGAATAAATATGAGAGTCTAGCAAGGCAGTTTTATTGTTTTACTATGGTTTAGATGTAAAGAGTTGGAAAATATAATTTTAAAAAGATGTCATTTACAACATTAAAAAAGAAAGTATACCTCAACACATCTAGAAAAAATTGAATTCCATAGAAAATAAAATTTAAAAGGATTCTAATAAAAAATTATAAAATACTTTGCAATAAATCTACAAAAGGTATTTAAAACCTTATGAAGAAAATTATAAAAAATGATAGAAATATCTTAAAGATGAATTAAATAAACAGGAAAACATATTATGAACATGGGCAGAAAAAGTTAATATGATAAAGAGGTCAATTCTCCATAGGAACATGTGGATTTTATTGAATTCCAGTAGAAATGTTGGACATGTTTCTTTGGAAACGGGATAAGCTGATTCTAAAATGGGAATGGAAGGGTACAAATAACAGGTAAAACACACATGAAAAAGCAACAGAGGATGGCAGACTCACCATAGCACACAAGACTTATAACGTGTGGTCGTTAAGACTGTGGCATTGGAACTGGGGCAGAGATGAGACCACTGGAACAGAATAGAGCCCAGAAACACAGCCATCGATGGACAGCAGATATAAATGACAGAGTGGCTTTGCAGATCAGTGGAGAAAAGACAGTTAAAAAAATGGTGATGAGTAATTGGTTATCCATAGAGAAAAGAATAAAATTGGAACTCTTGGGGCCCCTGCGTGGCTCAGTTGGTTGGGTCTCTGCCTTTGGCTTGGGTTGTGATCCCAGGGTCCTGGGATAGAGCCCCGTATTGGGCACCCTGCTCGGCGGAGAGCCTGCTTCTCCCTTTCCCACTCCCCCTGCTTGTGTTCCCTCTCTCGCTGTCTCTCTCTGTCAAATAAATAAATAAAATCTTAAAAAAAAAAACACAACCTATATAGAAAAAAGCTGATAAAGTCAACATCATTAAAATTAAAAATGCCTGAGTATCAAAAGACATCATTAAAAAGGTGAGAAGACTGGGGGGGAGGGGGTGGGAGGACGGGTTGGCCTGGTGGTGGGTATTGAGGAGGGCACGTTCTGCATGGAGCACTGGGTGTTATGCACAAACAATGAATCATGGAACACTACATCTAAAACTAATGATGTAATGTATGGGGATTAACATAAGAAAAAAAAAAAAAGAACTATCTACAGGAGAAAGGAAAAAAAAAAGATACTGAGCTATACATTTTAAAGATTAAAATGGTAAATATTATGTTATATGTATTTTACTACAATGTAAAAAACATTTAAAATAATCAAAAAAAAAAAAGGTGAAAAGACAAACTGCAGACTGGGGGAAACATTTGCAAAAATACATAACTGAAAAAGGATTCAAATCCAGACTATATAAATAGCTAATAAGTCAATAATTTAAAAAACTCAATAGAAAAATGAGTAAAAAATAAACAGGTAAATCACAGAATAAGACACCAGAATGGCTAATATATGCATGAAAAGATGCTCAACCTCATTGTTAATCAGAAAAATGCAAACAAAATCATAACGAGGTACCATTTCAAATCCATCAGATTGGGAAATTAAAGTCTGACAGCTTCAAATGTTGGTGGTCATACGGAGAAATGGGAACTCTCCTACCCTGCTGAAGTAAGTGTGACTTGGTACAGCACTTCAGAGACCAAGCGGACAATATTTAAAGGTGAAGATGCATAAAGACGCATATGCCCTTCGACCCAGGATTTCACTCACTGGTATATGAATCACATAGGATGACATGGGTATATATCCTAGGTTCCCACACTTGTGTTTGAGGAGACATTTATAAGAACGTTCATTGCAGGGCGCCTGGGTGGCTCAGTTGGTTGGGCGGCTGCCTTCTGCTCAGGTCATGGTCCTGGAGTCCCTGGATCGAGTCCCGCATCGGGCTCCCTGCTCGGCGGGGAGTCTGCTTCCTCTGACCCTCCCCTCTCTCATGTGCTCTCTCTCATTTTCTCTCTCTCAAATAAATAAATAAATAAAATCTTAAAAAAAAAAAAGAACGTTCATTGCAACATTGTAATAATAAAAACGGGAAACAATCTAAATTTCTATCAACAAGAGAATGAGTAAATAAATTTAGGTATATTCAAATAATGAGCCAATGTACATCAGAGGAAATTAATGAAGCACAGCTATGCGTGTTATTGTGAACGATTTTCAAAAACATAATCTTAAGAAAAAAAGTTTTAGGAAGCGTTGTGCCATTTTTATAAAACTTAAAAACATGAAAAGACAATATATCTGGGAATATAGATATATCTAATAAAAGTATAAAAAGATATGTATGGGAATAATAAACACTAATAAAAACCATGCATGGTTTTGCTTTGGCAGGGGGGAATGAAATCAGGGAGGGTAACACAGAGCTTCAACTATAAATATAATGCTTTATTTCTTAAGGTGGGTGATGGCTATTCACTATCATTTATATCTTAGAATGAAATATGTCACTTAAGTAGCACTGTATGCTTATTGTTCAGAAACATGGACAGAGAGGGAACAGGAATTGGGAGAGGGAGGTGAAGGAAGGTACAGAAGACTGTTTTTTTTAAACCTTGCACTCCTGGTTGACCTTTTAAAGTATACACAATAAAAGTTCAATAAAAGTTGACATTATAGGGGTGCCTGGGTGGCTCAGTCTTTAAGCGGCTGCCTTTGGCTCGGGTCATGATCCAGGATGCTGGGATCGAGCCCCGCGTTGGGCTCCCTGCTCGGCGGGGAGCCTGCTCCTCCCTCTCCCTCTGCCTGCTTCTCCCTCTGTTTGTGCTCGCTCTCTCTGTCAAATAAATAAATAAAATCTTTTTTAAAAGTTGACATTATAAAAATAATAAAAGTTTGAGTCAGGAAGTAATATGTGATATGTTTCTGTAAAATCTTCATTTGTAGATGCTTTATCTCAGTGCTGTTCAAATATGGTCCTTAGACAAGTGTGGGTTGGTGATCTAGTCTGCCATGAACTAAATATAGAATACAGCCTAAATGTTTGGGAGCTATTACAGCAATTTTATTTTGTTTTACCTTTATTTTTTAATCTTATTTTTTAAAGTAGGCTCTATGCCCAGTGCGGAGCCCAATGTGGGGCTTGAACTCACGACACTGAGATTAAGACCTGAGCTGAGATCAGGAGTCAGATACTCAACTGACTGAGCTACCTAGGTGCCCTGCTTTTATAGCAGTTTTAGAGATTTTATGTATGTTAAATCTAATAATTAAAAATGGGATTATATGTCACTATAATTTCATTTTTTTCTAGAAATAAACTCTTATTTTACAGACGTATTGGAGGGCAATGAATTGAAAACAAACAACTGGTCCTGCACAAATAATTTAAGATCCATTGCTCTGCCTTAATGAAAATTGGTATCTACATGATTTCTTTTTCTATAAATGCGTAGCTTTTCTTGTTCATTGGGGATCTTGTGCTCTACTTGTTAAAATATTAATGTTCAGTGTGGGACTCCAGAATTGTTTTGTTTGGTTCTGGATATGTGCCTTGCATATAAAGATATGGCTATTCTCTGCATGCATTTCCCCCAGAGACCCATACAAATATAGTTGTAAATTCCTGTTAGTAAACAGTAAGTCTTTAAATTTAGAATTAGGTGAGGAGGCTGACATGCAGAAGTGTAACAAACTGGATTGCTTTCAAAGTTCTATCTTTTCTAGTTAATTGTTAACTCACCAATGTGCTGCTTTTCTTGTATCAAGTATCACACTGGGTGAAAACACTACAGATAGGGTTTAAGGCAGTTCCTGGAGTTTTTGCATGAAAATTGGACCTTATACTACAGAGGAATGAAAGATAAACATTAATAAAACATTATCATCGTAAGAGAACAACACCAAACCAAATCTCCTCACCAGTGCTTGGCAGAACACTTCCTGAGAAGTTTCGGGCTGTGTGTGGCTTCCACCTTGGCATCCAAAATCTGCGTAATGGCCTGTGTGACAGCAGGAACCCAGTCTCCACGGGATTTTGTCTGTAAGGTGCAGCACAGTGGGGGCCTCTGAAATGTCCCAAAATACCTGTTTTAGATCTCCTTTTCCCCTCAAGAAAAGACTCCTTCTCAAAAATTACTTTTTTTGAAGCCAGATTACTCATTTCCAGGGTTCTCTTACACCTGCCACTTCCCAAGGGAATTTTTTTGGTATAATCTTTTCATCTTTCTGGAAGGCTAACAAAGCATTGCATATACCTGGCTTTTGCCTCGGAAACACCCTATCCTTTTCCTTTCATAATGCTTTTTAAAGGACTTTATTATTTGCTCTCTGGGTTCATTTAACTCTATTAACATACCAGTTTAGCATCTTTGCTATGTTTTCTTGCTATTTCTCATTTCGTTCACTATATGTTACTTAGCACTTCCGTTTGAGTATAGTATCTTCCACTTCCACTTCTAGAATGGCTAGAAAGTGCCATTCTAGCATTTTCATAACTAATATTTAGCTTTGCTTTGCATTTCATTCTCATGCGCTCTAAATTTTTTTCTAAAGTTCACTTGTTTATCTCTACACCCAGGGTGGGACTTGAACTCAGGACCCCGAGCTCAAGTGTCACAAGCTCCACGGACTGCGCCAGCCAGGCACCCCTTTCTCCCTCTTTTAGAAGGAGGAACATGAGGTGGAAGGCAACAAAGATAGCCCTTCCAAAGCCTTGTACTCCTACCAGAGGTCTTGGCAGCTTTTTAAAAGCCTCCTCCCCTCAGTGCTGTCCCAACCCACTGAGTTTAGGGTTTAACTGAAGTCGGAGACCTTGATTATAGTGTCACCAACCTGAGAGGTCAGGGGATGTAGTCTCCCTACATCATGTTTCTGAAGCGACACGGTCACGGGTGAGGACAAGGTGGTAGAGTGAGAACAGGTAGTGGAAAAGGTTCCCAAAGATGAGGCGTCCCAATAACGATTAATGGCTTATTCACGAAAGATCTGAAGCAACTGGAGTGGTTCGGTTTGGCTGCTGCAGAAGCCAGGGTAGAAGATCAGGGTGACGTCCTACACAGCCTGCAAGTTGACACAAGGTCAGGGAACGCCAGGACAAGTTTAAGTATATGCAAACATGCGGGCGGCGCAGCGTCGGGCCAACAGGGACAGCTCAGGGACCGAGGAACCCAGGAGTCGAGACCAGGCGCCGGCAGGAGCCGCTGCCCACAGCTCGGAATCCCTCCTAGCCGCAGCACGGCTGACCGCAAAGGTCACGTGACAAGCCCGAGCCCGGCTCTAATTGGCTACAAAAGCTCACACGCTCTCCCAGTTTTCCCTCTTTTCGGACACTACATTTCCCAGAAGGCCCCGCGGCGCTTAGCTCCTCCTAACTTGTTAGATGAGGGCCGTGCCGGGTTTTCCCAGCCTCTACCGGGCTTTGAGAGGCCCGGAAGAAGGGGTCCGGGGGGCGAAACCTTCTGGATTAAAACAGCCCGCACACTGGAGGCAGGGAGGAGAGCTGCGGCTCGGCCCCCTCCTTTTGCGCACAGACCTCTGGGAAATGTAGTAACATGTAGGTCTCTGGGGCTTGTGGCTCTCTCCCCGCTCGCTCCCTGGGGTCGCTAATGAGGCGGGAACCAGAGGGAGGAGGAGGGTCAGGACGAGCCTGCCACAGTGGCTCTTCCCTCTCCACCAGGTGGCGCAGCGTGCGAACATCTGCCCATCTACCTCCTGGTTATCGGATGCTGGGATAACCTTCTACCCTATAGCCCTGAGAATTCTCCAAGCTTAGATTTCCATGAAGTGCTTTTTAGAGGGATCTGCTGAGAAACGGGGGAAACAAATGATGGCGGCCCTAAATTACTCCCATCCTCTGTTGCTCACCGGACGCTTTATGAGGGTACACTGAACCATGGCGCTGCGCATACGGGGGATCCATTTTATGTTTGGACTTCCTTCGGGCACTGACTTCCGCCCCCCGGGAGCGTCATCAGCTGTTCGTACCGGTGTTCTCGACTCCCGGCTGGCCTCTTTGGGGCCACCACGACCGTCGGCCCTAGCCCAAGCCTTGTTGTTTCTGCCTCGGAGGACATTCGTTCTGCCCAGCTGCGGGGGTGACGGTCTTGACTTTACTGAAGGGAAGACTGAGGGTGTGGTGGGTGAAGGGTTGTTGATGGGCCATACAGCTAGTCGTGTAGTCAGCTCAGCGCGGTTGGAACGGATTCTGTCCGCTTCGGGGGGTGGTAATCCCCTTTGCTCAGTTTTGCTGCTGCTGCCTTAGGTGAAGTCATGATCATGCCGGCCATTCTAACGGTCTCATCCCGCCCGTATTTACTGCGAGTGTGTCAGGTGCCAGACGTTGTGCCGGGTGCTGGGGACACGGCGTTGAGTGGGGCAGACGCGGCCCCACCCTCACGGAGTTTACCGTCTAACGGGGAGGGCAGACTGGCTACAGAACACAAATAAGAGTAAGATTTCAAATTGTGGTACGTAGGGAAAAGAAACAGGATGCTACGAGAGAGAATGATGGAGGGAGCCGTAAGTTAGATTGGGAGATTGGGGAAAGGAAGAACTGCCTGATGTGAGACCCGGAGGCTGAGAAAAAGGAAGCTCTGTGACAGCCAAGAACAGAGTAATCTAGGCAGAGGGAACAGCGAGTGCAAAGACCCTGGGCAAGAACTCAGTGTTTTGTTCTGGAACTGAGAGGGGCGCCTGGGTGGCTCAGTCCGTTAAGCGGCTGCCTTCAGCTCAGGTCATGATCCCAGGGGCCTGGGATCGGGCACCCCGCTCAGCAGGGAGCCTGCTTCTCCCTCTTTCTGCCCCTCCATCCTTCCCTTCCCCCTCCTCACACCCGTGCTCTCTCTCTCAAATAAGTAATAAAAATAAAATCTTAAAAAAAAAAAAGGGAGCGAGAGAAGAAGGCTTTTGTGACTGGAGCACATGGGGTGGGGAGCTGTAGAGCAAATTGAGGCTGGCCTCCCTTCCTCCAGTCTTGCCTCTTTGAAGCCATCACACACTGGCAATACAGAAACATTTTCAAAACTCAAATATGATTTTACTCCCTTTTAGAGGCTCTGTGTTCCCTGCAAGTCAGACTCCTTGGGCCCAGTGCTCAAGGACCCTCATCATTGGATTTACCTTGCTTTCCAGTCTCCTTTTGTGCCTCTGCTTGGTATGCGTTATTCCATGTGCTTGCTGAGCAGGCTGACTTCGAGTCACCCTTCCTGTCTTGGTCACAATATCGCTTCCTCTGTGCTCTTCCTCCTGTGCATGCTCCACCCTAGCTATACAATTATTAGTTTGCCTACTAATCTCTCCCACAAGATAGTAAGCTGCTGCTCTCAGGAACTTGTTTTCTTTCTCTGTATGATGCAGAACGTGAGGCCAGGCAGTTGGTATTTTCATAACAAATTTCCACTGAGAGACAGTGGAACAGGTAGCCATCACTATCCTCCACCTGATACCTGATGGGAAGGTGATGTGTGGCTCCTGTCCACAGCAGAGAGTAACCTCCAAAAGGGGGAGAAGAGATGAGTAAGAAATCTGCACTTATCATGGCCAGGCACTGTCTTATCCACTGTCTCATTTAATCCTCATAACAATTGTGGGTCTTGATTCTTTTTGCAGTCGAGAAAGCTGGTGCCCAAAGGCTTACCCAGAGATCACCCAACTGGTAATGAGGAACCTGGGATAGGAACTTAGATCTTTCTGACTTCAAAACTTGAGGCTCTTAATACTCCCTCCGCTCCTTTTGCTCCTATTCTGGCACCTTTCACCAGCACAGGAGCCTGAGAAGTTTAAGGAACTGAACTCCAAGAGTCTTCTATCTCAGGTGGGTCATTTGTACCCAAGGATATCAGATCTGGAACAGCCTTTCTATTGGGGCTCTACCCCTTCCAGAAACCAGTGACTCATATCACTCCCTGCTTGTATCAGTATTTACAGGGCCTAGAAGAACTGGTAAGACTCAGAAGTAGAAAATCCAGGATTTGCTATCCTATGGAGTTCTGCCCTATAGAACTCCAGGCTGTGTCCAAGACATCTCAGTCTGAGACTACAGACCTCTGGGCTAGATATTCAAGGGCGCTCCTGAACCAAGCTTTCTACCTTAGCTGTGGCTCACGCCGTTTCTAAGAACACACATCGGGGTACAGACAGATATAGCCACTCCAGCATCCTGCAAGAGCCTGGCCCAGAACAGATGCCAGGTTAACCCTGGACGAATGAACTTCCCTTCTCTGCCCCAGGCTAGTCTCCCTCAGCTACTGGGAGGGAGGAATCCCTCCCTATCATGTGGACGAAGGGCTTCTGCCATCCAGGGAAGGTGAATGAAACCAGCGTTTCATCACCATCTCCATCTTGACTTCTTGGGGAGTGTGCCAAGGTGCAGCTGAAAACCAGTGAGTAATAATTCCTTGGAAACATGTTGGATCCAGCATTTTTATGTGACAATCTGATTTTTATTTTGAAACTGTGCAAAATGAAAGCCCATATACGTATCTGCTATATATGCTTGGAGGCAGTGTGGTTCTGGGGGAAGAGGAGTAGTCTCAGGGTCACCCTGGACCGAACAGGCTCTATTGGACAAGGTGCTCAGTGCCTCTTGGGCCCAGTTTTCTCATGAGTAAAACAAAAACATTAGACTGTAGGCTTCTTCCTACTGTTAATGTGAATGCTTAAAAAATGGCTGGTTACACCTGCAATCAACCCACATCAAGTACCTTTCAAGTGATCATTTGCCTGAATCTGGTCTATTTTCATGGTTTAGTTTTTCTAACACCTTTCACTTAACCCTTCCACCACTGGTGCCTTTCTCATTTGCAAGGTTTTCACTAGTTTTTGGCTTATTTGGATTCCAGTAAATCTTGTGGGATTCCAGCCATCGAATCACCTGCTCCTTTGCCCTACCTGGAGCCTCTTAAATCCCCAGCAGTCTCAACTCCCTGACAAAGCACTGAGAGAAGTCCTGGTCTCCCTCCTCTTCCACCCCTCCCATTCCTGCTTCCCTGAAAAAACAAATAAGGAAAAATCCGGGAGGTTTCTCTTCTGGCAGTTAGCACTCTTACCACTAGATGGCACATGTGTGCAAGTCATCAGTCTTCAGACAAAAACTCGTATTTTTTTTTTAAATGTATTTATACTCCACCTCAATCCACTAAAGCTTTGAGAGGAATTATACAAGTACAAAATATGCAAAAGGATAAAATGAAAAGTTGAAGGAATTGGAGAAAATAGAGAACAAGTGGGAGAGGTAACTCCAGGATGGGTCCTCAGAGGGAGGACACTGAACAGTGAAACAAACAGCAGTGACTTCCCTGGACCTGTTTCCGTGGGCCCTTCCATGCAGGCTGATGGTGTGATGCTACATGAGGAAACACGGTTCTCTGGACCAGGTGAATTTACTGCTGTATGTATGCCTTTGTATTTTCAAAAAGTGAATTTGCACCTACCTCCTATCCCCCACTGAGGTTTGGGTGGAGTTTGGGACCAGGAGGCTCTCCTTGAGGCTATGGTCACCAGCCCCCAGGATGCCCCCCCCCCCCATAACCCCCCCTGACTCCTGGTTTTCACACCCTGTGGAATCCCCACCCACATACCAGGGGGTGGTCTGTGTGACCAATAGAATATAAGAGGAGTGATGGCATGTCGTTTCTGAGGTTGGGTTATAGAAGACATTAGCTGCTCGTGTCTCCTTCTGTCAGATCATTTGCTCTGGGGAAAGCAAGCTGCCATGTCATGAGGAGCCCTCTGGAGAAACCCACGTAGCAAAGAACTGAGGCCTTCTGGCAACAGCCAGCTTTAATTTGCTAGTCATGTGTGCGAGCCACCTTGGAAGCAGATCCTCCAGCCCAACAGACACCTTGACTGAAATCCTACGGGAGACCCTGAGAAAGGCCATCTGGCTACATCTGTCCTTTGCTCTGCGAGATAATCCAGTGTTCTTTTCAGCTGCTAAGTTTTGGTGGTAGTTTGTTACACAGCAATAGATAACTAACACAGAGGCCAGTGGAAACCCAAGGTTGCATCAGAGATAATTTTGCATGGGTGGGTCAACTTGGTTTTGGAGACCAAAGAAATATTTCGGAAGCAATGTATGTATGGGCTTTAAATCTGATAGACATGGGCACCAATTCAGGCTGTGTCTGTGGAAAGACAGAAGTAGAAGGTCCCACGTGAAATGTCTGCAAAGGAGGTTTCTTTGCAGGATGGTAAGGGCAAGGACCTCAACTGTCTTATTCACTGTGGCACCCTCATGGCCTAGCACAGGGCCTGGCACATGGTAGGCTTTCTACAAATCTTTCTTGAATGAATACATGAATGGTGAGCTATAACTCTGAATGAGCCATTCAATTTTCTGGAAGACCATCATTCATTAAGCTCCTACCGTGTGCCAAGTACATAATGTTGGTTAAGCTTCCATGGAACTTTTGTGTCCTCTACAAATTACATGCATCTTTTCCGCCCATCATGTCTCCCCTCACTCTGTATTTTCTCCTTGGAATTCTTTATTATTTTTGTAGAGCCTTGCATGGGCTTTAGATTGCATTCTGAAAACATTCTCATGGGAGTAGTGTTCTTAGGTCATCATGAGAAGTAATTTCTAGTTACCGTTTTTCCAATACGAGAACCAGAACTGCTCAGGATACTGGGTTTATTTTGTGTAGTTTTGTTTCAGGGCCTGCCCTAATTTTTTCTTCTTTTTCCCCCTGCCCCTTTCTTTTAAAAAATGATCTGAAATGGCTAATGCTAAGTAATAGCAGTTCATTTTCCCTGTGATAACTATCTAGAGTCTATTTTCCCCTTTCATCTGACTTTGTTGCTGATTTGAACCAGATCTTACTGTTAACAGAAACATTCTGGGGGTGAAGGAGAATCTGAGTGATTTGCCTCAGACCCTTGTCTCCCCCCTCAATGTGTAAACACTCCTTTCTTGGTAGCTAGCTCTGCAGGACTTCTCCGCCTCCCCCCCCCCCCCCCCATCACACACAGCTATTATTTATTGAGTGCCTACCACACGCCCATCCCTTGTTATGCAGGTGTTACATGCATTATTGAATCTGTGCTAGAGACTGTGAATTGCCTTGCCGATTTTGTTAGTCCAGGTCATTCGAGGAGCAGACACCAGGGTGGGATTAATTGTGCAAGGATTTTACTAGGGGAAAAAAATTGCCTGTTTCAAAGGAAATGGGGAGAGGGCTTAAAGGCCAGGAGGGCCATCCCTAGACCCCAAATGAAGGGAGTACGGGGAGACAGTTGGGTGCAAGAGTCCCAGTATGCCCTGCAGTTTAAGGAAAATTCTGTCTAACGAAGGTTAGGCAAAGCTGTCAGGGAGTCCTTGAGCCAAAGCCAGTCAACGAAGGAGTCTGTCCCTTGTCTCTCGGGACTGGGTCTGACTTTGCACCCAACCAAACTCAGTCATTGGTGGGGTACAGCCCATGGGAGGTGTGGCCAATGAATGTCAAAGCACAGCAGCTGGTGTCCTCAGCTCCAAGCAGTAGGAAGTCTGTGGAAGCACATTTCTGTGGCTGCCACACCAGTATTTATTCTCCTTTCTTTTTAAGTAACAGAAGCCTGATTTACTTGGGTGGCAAAGACGTGATGCTGAACTAAAAGATTTTAGTTCCCTGCCTTCCTTGCAACAAGTTGTGGCTCTATGATTGTATATATGAGTAGTCATGTATACACAAGCAGTCACAAGCAGAAGTGTTACGAGGACATACCAGTAATGCTCCTCGAGGGGCTCTGAGTCAGCTGGGAGGTGCCTCCCTTCTTCCCTTCTCTCTGCCGGGACTAAAGACAAATGGCTACAGCCTCAGCAGTCATTTTGTGCCAAGAGGAAATTTGTTACTAATGGAACGGCAAACAGACAAATACCAAGAGTCTGCATCCCTAATGAATAGAGACCAATCCGCTCTGGATTGCCTAGCTCCAGACTTTAACCTGAGAGGAAACCCCCCCCCCCTTTATTTTTAGCCGTTGATACTTTGCGTTATAAGCAGGTAAATCTAATCCTAATCGGTACAGTATCTAATCTTCACAATGGCTCTGCCAAGCAGGCATATTTATGCCCATTTTACAGATGAGGAAAATGAAGCTTAGAATGAGTAAGTGTTAGAACCTAAATTACACAGCCCGGGGTAGTATTGAGGATACTTTCAGCTTCGAATAACAGAGCAGTGTTTGTCAGTCTTCCCTGAAGATAAGAACTGCCTGGGAAC